AATCTAGTGCTGAAGTTGCAGATTTAAACCACTTGAATATAGCTCGGCCTTCCAAGCATATAGGAGAAATTACAGTGGCTGCAAAACCTGCAAAAAACACAAACGCCAGTGCCAGAGTTTGGTTTGTCCATTCTGAGCTACTGTAGAAACATGGTGGCTTCTGTGAAAGGTGACCTGTGGCCAATGTAGATAAACAGCTCATTCTAAGGCAACAAAAACACAATAATTATTATATTCAGGTGATTATACACTAATGAAAACATACCAATAAATATTTCATAAATGTTACAGTATTTTCAGTTTCCAACAGCTGTTCAAAATCTTAATGTGAAGGGAAGTTTTCAGCACTGTACAATAGCACCATCTGCTGCACAAATATATATATATATACATATATATAAACATCACAACACCAACTACAAATCTGACAACTATTTGAATGTGTGTTTCCTCCCAAAAAAAAGAGACATCTGCATCACCGACTCACAGCTCAAACTGAGCACTGTTCCCTGGGCAGCACACCAAAAAGAGAAGATTTCCTTTTATGCTCTTGGATTACAAGCTGATACCTGAACCTACCCTTCACCACCTCCAGAAAGAACATTTAAAAGTGTGATTATCAATTCTTTGCATTGTGCTTTTCTGTCTTGTTACTGGAAACATTGCCTCGAAATGTCTGTATTTGTTTGCTGCTGTGTATTATAAAGAGGCATTGTGTAAGTAATGCAGATGGCTTTTTAAGAGCGCTGTGTGTATTTGGGTGGGTAGAACAAGGGGTGATCCAATGAGACCCTGTCAAGTCAGGTACTTGGCTCTTTAGAGTAACTCTCCACTTGTCACTTTCCACCACATCACTGGAAACAGAAAAGAAGCTGATCAAAGTGCAAGCAAATGAAAGGAAATGAAGGGATATAATGGTGAGACACACAGTATGAGGATTAGGATGAGCACAACAGCATGCTGCATGTCCCTGGAGGAAATCAAACAGATTTGACATCCTGACAAATGTTTCATCTTGTTATCCACCCACTCATGGCCAGGAATGAACCCACATACAGCAGCAGATCACTGTCACAAGGTATATTGAACACAGCAATGCTTAAAAATAGTAAACATTTTCAAGAAATGATTTTGCTGGGAGAGAAAACTTCAAGCAACAAGGAAGTTAGGTCCTCTGGGAAGGCCCACGGTCATTATCTGTTCCATGAGGGAAAAAATTGATATTAAAAACATCTGAAAATATTTTGACAATGGATGGCAGTAATAACACTAGTCTACGATTTCAAGTGTAAACATGTTTTCCATATTCTTCACATTCCGATTACAAAGGAATTTTTTTGGAGTCCATACTTGATCCATTATTTTCTGCACTGTCACTGTTTTTTCATGTTGTCACATCAATCCTGTCACTTTGTCTAACACAACATGAAACTTGAGTACTCAGCATATAGAAACAAAACAACTCTGCCAAGTCATTGTTAACGGAAAGAAAAACAATGACTCCGATCCATGTCTTAAAACCATTTGCTTAGTATGTAGATAGAAGGTGCAGTCTATCATATATAGTATAAATTCTGTCCTAATATGAACTTCTTCATTAGAGCAAACATGCTCCAAAAGAGCATGTATGAGAAAATCATCACTACATGTTGGAATTTAACCAAACACAGATTATGACAAATAAAAGATGGAAAAACTATAATTTAAAAAAGTGCAAAATATAACAAACACAGTAAATATGAACACTTCCTTGATAAAGTTATTGTAAACTGATACTAATTTTAAATAATTGTTTTAGTCACTGTAGTCACTAGTACAAATACCAGGGGTTTACAAATTCCATGTTTTTATTCACATTATAAATACCATGTTAGACTATGTATGTTCATTTGTCTTTTTTACAATTTGTAGAGTAAATATTGATTCTGATATTTTCAAAGAAAGGAAAATGTTTAATTGCCACCCTAAAATACTACAAAACTAGACATATGCACAATGCATAATATTAATAATTTTATAAATCATAAAGCAGAACAAAAAGGATTTTTTGTGTATGTTTACATTATACTGAGTGACATAATAACAGTATGTTTATAGTTGTCTTAAAGGAAATATTTTGAAATTGTTAAGTTATAGTAAATAGAGAGGAAGCCAAAAGCCTGCCTTATACTTTGATTTATTAGTAATAAATACCACAACATGGGGTTTTACATTGCAGATTATATAGGAAAGTAATACAAATATCCATCTCAATTAAAATACATTTGTGAAACTGAACCTTATTTTTGTTAAAATAATGATAAAAAATGTAGAAAATCTCATACATTAAATTAAAAAACAAACAACGTAGCATGCTGTACAAAATAAACATAGAAAAGCTAATTATGGAGTTTAGACAGTTGTAGCAACTCTGACAGGCGGAGGAGGGACGAAGCTAGGGAGAGCCACTGATCTCTCAGAGGGAGTCTGAAAGAAAACAAGCCAGTTCATTTACTGAAAATCAACAACAGAAGTAATCTTCCACTTAGATATATTTGATTAGAAAGGCTACCTGCTGTAATCGGTTGTAATCAGGGGGAGACTTTAGCCCTCCTGTCAGCAGGTTATGAGGAGTTGAGTCTGTTTGGGTTGTTATTGTCTGTGAGTGACAAGAAAGCAGCTAAAAACAACCAACCAAAATAACAGATGTAGAATTCATTGGCAAACATGTTAATACGTGAATACTATCGGATCATAATATGGAGACCACTATATTTATTTTATACTCCACAAGGTCCCCATCAACTGTAACTATTAACTGATCTGTTGGCACTGAAGCTGCAATTGATTCTAACCTTCTCTACTGCTCTGGCCACTGGATATCTTGTCTGTCGACCTACAAAACACAGAAAAACAGAACATAAAGAAAATGTGTCACCAACAAATTCATATTTCATGCTAAACGAGCTACTACTTCATCTACTTTTGTTCTTGTTCCAGTTGACACAGAGGTAGATGCTGCCTCCCAGCAGCAGCAGGAAGAGAAGGCTGCAGGGGATTCCAGCTGCAATGCCAGCAATGGCAGATCCACTCAGCCCGTCACCTAGTATCACCAGGACCAACAGTAAACAATACTTTTATGTAGCACCCTTATTGACCCTGTTATAAGAAATGTGAGGCTTTAACATACACAATCTATCAAATAGACATACCTGGACCAATTCTGTGGGCCTTAGTTGGCGCTCCTTCAGTCATTAGAGCTTTGGGGATTATCCGAAACCTGTACGTCAAGTTGGGATCAAGGGGGAAGATGTCTGCATTCCTGGCAGATCCAGGTTTCTGCTGGATCGTCTGAAAGCTTTGTGAGCTGCTTCTTGTTTGGGTGCCATTACGATTTTTGCTCTGGAGGGCTGGCCCTTTCATCTGGATGTCAAAGCCTTCGCACAAAAAAGGAAAGGCAGTTCTGTTTTGTATGATACCAACATCAAGGTTGATCAATTACCAAACCCAATAGCAGAGGTGGGAAGTACAAATACTTCTTTACTGTGGTTTTTTCATGTATGTGCACTTTATTGGAGAGTTTTCTGACAACTTTTTACTTTTACTCCCTACGTTTTTACACAGATATCTGTACTTTCTACTAACATTTTACAGGCTTGTTTCAACAGTTTGAAAGCATTTCAGGGGAAGCATCATTTCTTTTTTTTGCATCATCCCACAAAACTCGACTCCATTTGAAGTTTCAGTTAGCTTTGCACAGAAACAGCCGGTAGAAATTCCCGTAACACAAACTAAAAGAGTAAAATCTTTTACTTTTACCGTATAGTATTTTTACCGCAGTCTTATTTTTAATTTTTTTTACACTATCTGTACTTCTACTTGAGTAAAGAATGAGTGTACTTTTGCCACCTTTGCCAAATAGTACTATCAGACAATACTACTAATATAATAATGATAATAATGTTACTGTCCTGTTTAATTTGGAAAAACTTACTGTGAGACGTAACAGAAACTGACATTTGCTTTTCGCAGTACTTTTGTCCTTAATGTGTTTTCCCAAAACACAGCCGTGCTCAGCTAGAGGCTTCACACATTACACAATATTTATACCCCTATGTTCTACGTAGAGTTTCTGTTTTCAACACTGTCAGCATTGACAGAGAGGGATCGTGAATCAGCATTCTTACCAAAGAGTTCTGCTGAGACGTACAAATCCAAAACAAGAAAGTTGGGTTTATGTGTGAGGTTTAAAAGATATTGTTGTGAAAAAAGAAATCAACCTGAAGTTTTCCAGAGTTAATTCCTGCGTTACCTGTTACAACAGAGGTAGGCGGGACCTCCCAGGTCAAAGTGATGATGGTTCCATCTTGATTAGGGAACAAACTGGAATCTGAGATCGACGGTCCTGGAAAGAGAGGGATTGTGAATGAGGTGACGATCAAGAGAGGGCAGGAGAAGGGGGGGTGGTGGGGGTATACCAAGACTGGAGAGCTTTGTTTAAAAGGGAAAGAGCAACCTCAGGTATTACTTAGCTCCCCGTCTGAAGGCTCATTGTTTCCTTTTACTTTGGTAATGCTAGTAGTACTCAAAATTAGAAGCTGAAGGCAACACAATCCTTACAGTTTTTAAAGATGCCACAAATAATGACCACACTGTTCGAGTAGTAAGCACATCTTCTACTTAAATGTACTTCAAGAAGTTCTTAACTGGTAATGAAACAGTCTCAATTTAATACAGATGCCTCTATTACCTACATAAACAAACAAGACCATCAGCGAGAAGACTAGCTATTTTGATATAGTTATTCTTAATGCCCGCCACCGGTTCGGATTTGGTTGAATTTCCTTTGAAATCAGACGAAGAGGTGGAGGAAACACTACCGCTTGTATCCACAGGGGCCGCCAGAATCATACATATGAAATCTTCAAGTAATTATTAACCAGCCGCTATATGTAGTGGATTAAGAAGTACAGTATTCCTCTGTGTGTAGTAGAAGCTGCACAAAATAAATATGTTCACGTAAAGTACCTCAAAACTGTATTTCTCATCAGTACTTAAATAGGTACTAAATATCTGGTTACTTTCCACCTGTGAACAAACCAATAAGAGCAATTATTCCATACCCATCAACTGAATTTCCCTTCTCTGGCTGCCTAGTGGGTTGCGGCAGGTGCAAGTGTAGTTTTGAAGGAGAAAGTTGCTGACATTGTAATGCCGAATCTCAAGCTGTGTGGTGTCATTTCTGATCTGGTACGTCGTGCCGATGGTGACAGTCTCGTTGCCTTTGGACCATGACACCACAGCCTTAGGCGAGGCTTCACTGACACAGTTGATGGTGACCACTATTTTGCCCTCAGAGTCAACTGTGGTTCTCACAGCTGGCAGGAACACCTTTGGACTACCTGGGTAAGATCAGGGCAAGGTCTTGTTTGACTATTGCACATTATGCAAGTTTTATGTTTTTTAATGACAGATTGTTGAGCATCGAAAACTTACTTGCAGTGATATTGCACTTATTTTGTTCAGTTGGGTGGTATGCCATGCACGTGACAGTTTTCCCGTCGAGGTTATCCGAGGCATTGAGAGTGAGGCTGAAGCTCCCTGCTCCACTGCCAGAGTTGTTTAGCACCGGCATAGAAAGCAGAGCCTGTGGGGTTCCCCCCAACCACTGACAGAGGTACTGCAGGTCGATGTTATTTACAGACAGCACAGAGCACACCAGGTTTCCTGACGGCCTCTCTGTCCAAAGAGAAAATATGACCTTTTCTTCAGTAGTAGTACAGGGTAAGGTATACATGTAAAATAAAAACTGTATTTTATCTTTGGTGGTGTAACTAAATAATATTCTTTATGATAACATTCTTTGAGACATTAAATTTAAGAGAAATTACTGTAAATTAGAAATGCAAATGCTGAATCCTAGCATCCATAAAACTAAGAGATAAAAGTTTTGACATACCATAAATTGCTAACGTCATATTCTTTTGGCGCTGTTCATTAGTCTTGTTATTGCGCAGCTTGCATATATAAACGCCTCCTTGACTGGGCTGTACATTTGCTAGATTTAGGACTCCATTCGTGGAACTGTTAAGGGTCTGACTGTCAAAAATCCACTCAGCAGTCGGCTGTGGGGACCCCTCAGCCGAGCAGGAGAGTTTCAGAGAGTCTCCTGATACATAGAAAGGCTGTGCTGGTTGGACCTCAAGCATGGGCTCATCTGGTCCATCTATAAACAGACCATAAAGAATACAGGGGAGAGTTAAAAGAAATGGGGCGGAAACAAACAGAGACAGAGGCTTTAGGAAGACATATTTCCCCACTCTGAATGGAGTAAGACAAAGTTATTAATAATCTTACACAGCACAGCGACATGCATGCGAGCTGTCACATTACTGAAGGGGTTCGCCAGTGACACCGTGTACTCTCCTGTGTCTCTTCGGTTTGGCAGGAGGATCACGAGGCTCTTTTCCCTCACCGAGTAGTGCGAGCCATTATTTATTTCTTTGTCATTGAAGAACCACTTCTCTTGCTCGACCACTCCGTGGAGCATGCTGTACTGCAGGGTGAACTCATCAGTTCCCTCTATGGCCAAATCAGGCTTCGCGCTCAGAATCACATTTTGGATTTTTTCTGTGAAAAAAAAACAAAACAGTGAAGGGATGGTAGAACAGGTGGATGACGCTGCAATCTCCTATTAGCATGGCCAATCTAGACGGCATTAGAAAGATCATCAATTGTGAAGCTTTCTGGATGCCCTAAAGATTTCAGCAGTACGTGTAGCTTTCCTGACCGCATTACACAGTGCTGGGGCAACCCAAAGCTGGGAGAGATTCAGAATTCTGGTCTAGCATAATCCCACCCTGCTGCCCAAAATATATATTTCACGTATATTTTAAATATTAGATTGTATATACAGTCAAGAATTAAGGCAAGATACTAAAAAGGTTGCAGCATGTGTGTGGCTTGACATATTTTTTTCATGGCAGTCCAATAGATTATAAAATCTACCCATTAAATCCAAACCCCACTACAGCAGCACATCTCCAAAGTCAGAGCTCAGTCAGGTACTCACCAAATACTTTTAGAGTGAAAGTAGTCGAGGCTTTTCCCAGTCCAGACTTAGTCATTTCAACGGTGTACACACTGGAATAATTTAGTGGTACTTTTACCAAAGTAAGCGAACCAGTTGGCTCAATCCTCAGCACTTCCTTTCTGCTGTCGTCTATGTCTGGGGGAAAAGGTGAGTCAATAGTCCATGTGAGGACAGGTAAATCTCCCATTGACCAGGTAACCGCTGGGTCAGTGGCACCGCCGAAGGACACAGCCAGAGTCACATTGGTGCCAGCAACAGCATTCACCAGGGAAGGGCCAACATTAGAAACCACCAGCTCACAGTATGCACCTGTCAATGTGGAGCCAAAGTAATTAGTTTAAAGAGGAAATATTCATCTCTCAATTCTCTGAATCCTTGATGGGAAAAGGAACAATTTGCAAAACAGTTGATGTATTAAATGCTGATATGTGACAAGTGAATATCCCATGCTTATAGTGTATGTCTGTTCCTAATAAAATAAGCGCACATAAATAGAATTAATATGGTTCAACGTTAATTCATTTCATGGTTATTTGATAGGGACAGATACAGCATGCATATAGAATTTGCATTACAATTACAATCCAATGCAATGCATCAAAGCATTTGTAGCTCCAGCTAAAGGGCCTTTAAAATAACATAAAAACGAGTTTAGCAAAAGGCACACACGTCAAATATAGAATAAGACAAATCTTGGAACATCGTTGGAACATAGCTAGTTTTAATCTTACCTCGAAAAGAAAAGCCAAGTAAAATGGCCAGAAAAACTGCGCATAATCTCCCAAATTCATCCAGCCACGTCATTTTAATTAAACAGCTCGAGTAGCTCACGAATTCAAGAGTAACCGAGAAAAGTCAGATCTTTTCTAAGTTCTGTTCCCAAACATAAAGACACTGGAAATGAAGAAGAAATGTCCTTGGAGTCTCAGACAGCAGAGACTGAACTGCCTGTGTATCCTCTCGAGCTCAGCTGTCACCTGTGCGCGTGAATAGCTCACCTGTGCTGACTCAAAGCCCCGATTGTGCACGCGAGGCCACGCCCCTTGTCTATTTTCCCATAACAGCACCTGAGCTTTATTTCTGTGTCGTTTAACAGCCAATACTATTTCACCGTACAATGTATTTCATGTAAACAGGGAACATGGTGATGAGGTGACTTTATTGTATTTTTACGCAATGGGGTCTCTGTGCTGGGATCTGTTACTGGTGCCCTTACCAGAGCAGGCAACTTGACAGACTGAACAAATCCTTGTCCTTCCGTTAAATGACCCGCATATTTTAACTTATAAACTCATAAAAGGTGCCAGTTCATCAGGTACATCATTAATTAAGTCTTATACAAATACATACTCATGTATGGAGAACTAGCCTACAGCATTTAATATAAAGTAAGACACTTTTAAATGAATATTCCAATGAATAACATGTAAATTAACCATGACATTATGAAAACAAATATATGAATCTCTACTTATTACCATAAAATGTTATTATATCCTGCTTTTTCCCACAGTTTGAAATAATTCTGAAACATTTGATGTATAAATTAAAATTAAATTAAAATTAAAATTTTTAAATTAAAACAATTAATCTGTGTCTTTGGCCTGAGTGAGCGTTTTTTTAAAAACCTATGGAGAATATCCCGCTATTTTCACCACAATATGTTACCTATTTACAGGTTTTAATGATGTCATTACATTTGTACCTGCATGGTGTGCAAAAGTGTATCGAAACTAAGTGCTTTGGACAGCTAACAGTGATTTTTTCTCCTTTCCAGTCCCAATCATCATCTATCCAGGGAATATCTGTAATGTATTGTTACTTGCAGACTACATTAGGGAGGGTGGGGAGTGGTTATTGTCAGTTCAAACCAAAAGAACAGTCACAGGTGTATTTAGATATGAAAAAGACTGGCTGCTTTATTGTCATGGTAATGTTCTGTACAATTAACAGAGAATTGAGGCGCTTGTGGTAAAATTCAGATTTATGATCATCTTCTGTTGCTCATACTGAGAGACACTGTCTAGGCAGTCCAGAAACCCAGTTACAACTACACAAACTATACAAATTACCAGCAGACTTGACACTAATCTTGAAGGCCATAATCATTTCAACATGTTCAGGTCCATATTTACATCATTTACAAAAACTGCACCTCTTAAACATGTGTGACTACAGATATACAAGATTAAACAGCCGAGCCGAGCTAGTGTTGGTGAAATGCATCGTACTGGTGGTGTTAATGTACAGTGCAACACAAACAGTATTATCAATGACAGGAAGTTTCTGGGTTTAAATTATTGCATAAAGACTACTCGTCTACAATAAGATTAGCAGCCTGTGATACAGATGAACCACCTGCGTAAGTTAAAATGCACATGAAAGACAAGATGATCCTTTTGGGGGCTGTCTGGGTCTGCTGCAGGACAGTGTTTCTCAGTAGTCCTCCTCTCTTGTCGGTACCTCCCTGCATATCCTCAGGAGTCAGTCTTAAACAGAGGGATTAGACCGATACATAAGCTAGTCCTCCGGATGTGCTTTTGTAATACAGTCCAGTAATTCATTAGAGAGTCCTGCAAGGAGAGAAGATAATGTAGATATGTAATTCAAGACAAGAGTTGCAATTAAAAATCTTTAATTAGTTTGGTGTCCGTCACTACAAGACACATAATACCCTTTGCCAAAGCAATTAATTAGTACTTTTACAATGAAGAGACGGTGATATAAAAGGATGTCGCATTAATATTCCAAGCAAACAATTATGTCATTCATCACAAAAGGGTAAACTTGCTGCGTGCATATACAAGCGTGAAATGTATCAAGTCAAAGAAGGTCAAAAGGTAGATATAGGTTTATAAAGAGTAATGCATTTTTTGGTATACAGTGTTTTCCTGCAAATTATTCAGTAATGATTCACTGCCCCCCTTTCATAGAAAACCCTAAAATTAAAGATAAAATATTATAAATACTTAATAGAATTTTCTCCCCTCAAACTTATTCGATTAATGAATTTGTAGGTTGCTACTAAGTATTCTACAGAAGAAGCTGAAACGGTTAGTTGATAAAAAAAATTGGACAACTGACGGAAAATTAATAATCATCAATGTTGATAAACAGATCACCGCTGTAGCTTAGAAGTTAGGATGCAGATCATGAACTGCAACGTCCCAGGTTTTAAATCAGACTGGAAACTTTTGTTTTCTCTCTCCCTCCCTCATTTCTCTACTGGCACTAACTAATAAAAGACATACACCCCCAAAACCTATTTTGACAATGATTTTGATCAATTAACCCTGTAGGTAATGTTCTAAATAAAACACCAAACAATGTCTGCATCTGGCTTCTCTGTTAATGATAATCAGCTGTTTTTTTCAGTTCTATATAATTGTAAATTGTTTATCTGTGTGTTTTGGACTGGGTAAGGGTAAAACATTGAAATGATTGCAAGTTGATAGGACTTTGAATTTGTGGGAGACGTAAAAGATGCATATCAATATATTTAATTTTTTATAATAATGTAGTTTCCGTCAGGCTCTAGATTGGTAGATACAGTGACACTCACCCTTCTGCCAAGTTCTGCACTCTGCTTATGCTTCTGAAGCCTCTATACCATCCCTGCCTCCTTCAGTTTGCCCACCAGGTCGTCCACTGTCTCCACCTTCATCCCCGCCTGTCTCTGTGGGGGTTCATCCACTCTCAACACCTCCAACCGTGAAGTTATGTCCACCCCTAAGTCTGCAGGCTTTACGTTAGCTATCTTCTTTTTCTTGGCTTTCTGAAAGTAGGAAAACACAGGAAAATGGGTAATGTACATAATCTGTACTATTTAATAGTATAATCAAAAGGTCTTTTTTACAGTTTCATTTTCTGGCTTTCACAGCTTTTTCTGGCATTTCTGACCACATTTCCCTGCAACCTACCATGATATTGGGCAGGGTGGCATATCTGGGGGTGTTGAGTCGAAGGTCTGCGGTAATCACTGCTGGTGTGTTGATCTTAATAGTTTCCAGGCCACCATCGATTTCTCTCACCACTTTAACCTTGTCTCCTTCCAATGACACCTCTGATGCAAAGGTACCCTGGAATATAAAGACACAGTGCAAATTTATTAAATGAGTCTAAACGGTCCACCTGGAAAACAGGGAACATTTTTGTACATCATCATTTCTGCAATTAGTGAACAAAAACAGTGGGAGGTTACTTCATGAGACAATTAACGTGTAATTATTGTGAAACTACACTAACCCAGGGCAAATCGGTCTTAAGAATTAACTACTGACTATAAAATGTCAGGGGTGGTAACAGTAGTGAGTATGAATGATTAAAATGCCTGGATATACATTATAATCTGTGCTTCAGGCTGCTCAACATGTACACTGAGAGATAACCTGTTACTAAAGAGCTCCATCTATTGGTCAGCCAGTGGAACTTCACCTCAAATGTCCGAGCAGCCTTTGACCCGCTTTGCTGATCTGTGCAGGATCGCTGTAGCTGTTACTGACTCAAACTAGTCTCCGCTAACTTTGGAGAGATAAGGACAGGGGCATAACCTGATATCAGCACTGCTACATTACATATTTGACAACTTGTAAAGACAAATGGGGGGGGGGAGAGT